CTTTGGGATGATAGGGGACTTAGGCGGCTTTTCGTAGAACGCCGGAGAGCGCTATAAAAGCGGCTTTATACAAAAACGAAGAAAATTCGGTAAAATTTTTGGACAGCTTCGTTGAGACATTTGCAGCTGAGATTTGTCTGAACGACAAATTTCTACATCTGCGACATACGCTGCCGTGCTTGTCATGACGTCCAGTGGCGTGGCGTGAATTGCGATTTATCGATTGTTATGCCATTTAAACCTATGGAATAGGATCGATAAACAGGGTGTTCGCAGCGAACGCCTTAATAATCAATTCTTTACCATCGGTTGAAATGGCATAACAATCGATATATCGCAATTCACGCCACGCCACTGGTGACGTATACTTTAACGGCGCCAAATCTCATCATAGCCTCGGTACACTGGAAAAAAAAGAATCTTAAATTTGCCGCCAAGAAGTATTTCTTCTTAAATCAAGAATTTTGCTGGTTAATATAAGCTACTTTTTTGCTTAACCCAAGCATTATTTTTCTTGAATCAAGAAAAAGTCAGCTTAAAGCAAGATAAAGAAAATTCTCGGCGGCAAATTCAAGACTGATCATGCTTGACCCAAGCTAATTTTTTTTTCAGTGTAGAACGCTTAACGTCAAGTTAGAAATCCCGAGAATAGCGAAATAGCATCAGAACGTACTTCAGAGCATGATTAAATGTATCACGTAAAATCGAAGGCAGAACAGTTCCCATACAATATTGATACAGAGATCACCTTTACTGCTGATTAATTATTGAATTGATCGACAAAATGATAGACAAAGAAGGCATAGAGAGTATGAGGCAATCCTGTTGGTTGAAATGAGTGATTCTTATGGACTAAGGGAGAAAATGATGGACTAGTAGGGTCTCTCGTGGGTTCCCGTTGGTTAGTCCATTACCTACCTCCTGCGTCTCTTGCAACAACCCACTTTCACCAATAGGACCCGGACCCCTCGATATCCCTTTTGTCTTCTTCCTTTATAGCTTTGTAAATCAGTTTTAAAAATCAGCCCGCTGCTTTAATTGGACTTGAGTTGACAAGTGTCTCGTGTGAGCCAGAATCGTGAACTAACATGCACCAAAAACGGTATATACTAATTTATGAGTTGAATTCCGAAAGTGACACGGCGTCCATCGTACGCTTAATAAAGTCTCGATAAGTACACTGATAGCCGAAGTGCGAAACCACTTATGTCCGTTTGCGACGTTGCATATTTCCCGACATACTTTAAATTTTCCCTGGAAAACTAGTTAACGTAATTTTTTGAAAACTTCCCTGCCTTTTCTTCTCGTTTTGCAGAATATCCCGCAAATATTTCAGACTATAAAGTCGGCTTGTTCCTCTTTGAAAAGATAACATAGAAACGGGAATTTTAAAACCGTGCAATGAGAATACGTGCGGTTTCACACTTTAGCCATCGATAAATGCATTGTAGTGCTTAACTTTGTATCGTGCTCATGGTAGTCCATTGGTTCCCTCTGTTGTCAATGCTTCATCTTATGAACGTAGAAGTAACATTAACCAATTTAGTTTATCCTTTTTACTGATGTCAAAACTGCACAGAGAAAGTATCCATTGCACGATCTCCATGAAATAATTTATCTTCCTTTTTCTTGAAAAGAAAGAAAAAATCGTGATGCCACTCGAGCAATTTGAGAGCAATTTTTGGACAAGAAAAAAATTTTTGAAAAAAAAAAAAAAAAATTGAAAAGATATTTGAGGTCTTAAATTGACTTAGCTTTTGTCGGGTACTCCGGAGGTTCCTTTAGCTTGTTGGCGCTACGTCACCTCTATGTCCATGAACCGATGAAATATAAATTTCAAAAATCGCGCTTACGGCTCACAATCAGTCTGTTCTACGCCATGACAAGCGGCGCACAGTGGATCGAGTCAATTTGAGAGGTCAGACAAAATTTTAAAAGCTTAAAACTCCGTTCATACAAAACTTTGATGTTTTAAAAGTGATTCCATGGGTTTCCTCGTGACATTTTCTTCTAGAAGCACCCATTAAAATTTAAAATGTGACGAATAAAACAACAACATTTACAGTTTTAGTTAAAAGTTCCATGTCCGACCTCTTTGATTGGCTGGATGCACTGTGCGGCGAGATAGAAATAAGCCGGCTGAAACGTATGAATAACATACATGGAGTGGCCTTACATATGATTGACATCTAGATGGAAGGAGAAGGCGGGAGGATTTTTTGGATTTCGAAAATACAAGAAAGCTCCATTTGCAGATAAAACATATTTATATGTGATTAATTTGTAGTCCATATATACTAGGAGTGCTATTATATACTCTAACTTACATCTTCTTAAATTGACCTACTTGTTAGAAATGAAATGTAATTATTTCATAGCTCTTTATTACATACGTATGATTCTTAAAAATTTAAATTTTTAAAGATAAAAATCAATCTGAAGTCATTCCATCAGTGTAATGGGCCTCTAAACAAGGTATGCATGAAGGTATTTATCACGTTTCCTCTTCAAATTTTACAACTAGTCATACCACGGAAAACCTAGGAAACAACTCCTTCACAAGATTATAAGTGTTCACGGTTAGCATTGGGTAAATGACAACTGTACAAATGACGTCATTTGTACAATCTAACTTCCATTTAAACTGTCACCGCAATCACACGCTGAAAGTGGGAGCTGAATGTGGCTTGAATGTGGAAGTCATCGGCCCGATGCCTGAATTTTGCGCGTGACGCGCAAAATTCAGCAACGATTCTCAGCAACCATCGGACCAATTTTGAATTTGTCTGAACTATTCGAGTAGATTTGATACACATCTGGATGAAAATAACTCGAATTTGCTAAATTTCAGCCGTTGGGCGATGACTGTTGACTTCCACATTCAGGTGCTAAATTCAGCGTCTGATTGCGGCATATGTTGTAAAATAAATGTTAGGACCTTGCACAGGAGCTAATATCAGTGTCGTGGCGTGCTTTGCGATGTATCGATTGACGAGCCATTTATACCTATGGAAAATGATCGATAAACAGGGTGTTCGCAACGAACACTTCAATAATCCATTCATTCCTAGAGTACCTATATTGAGAGAGTATGGCCACTGGTGTTACCGCCTCTGATTGGCTCAGCCATCTTAGGCTGAATGGAGCCCTTAGGACCCAAAAATGGCGGACGCCATAAATTAATGTAATGCAAAATAACTCAAAATGTAGTTTTCTTTGCTTATCGTAACGAGAAATTTACCCAAATGCACTATTGCGACTTCTTTACATATTTTTAAGGCTAATCGTGTGCAATTTTTGAGAAAAATTATCTTAGATGTAGTATAAGGTTGGCAGCAAGTGCGGTTGGTGATAACCGTCAAAAGTTGGCAATGACCCCTCTCCCATCCACAAAAACCAAAACAAAGCACCGCCATTTTTGGGTCCTGAGCCTCGTGGGGCCCAGTGGCCATACTCTCTCAATATAGGTACTCTATTCTTTCCCACAGCTTCAAACGGGGGAATATCGATAATCGATCATTGACGCCTCGCCTACGGTTAACATCCGAACTTTCTACGAATCGCTTTCTATGTGAGCTTTTAAAAAGGAAACGTGTGATGATCCTGTCTACTTCACACCTTGTTGAGTGGTCCGTTGATATACTTAAATCTAGTTCTTACAGATTAATTGCTCATGAATGACATAACCAAATAAAATTAACAATTTAAACAAAAGAAAGTATAAAAATACATAACCATTATAAAAATTTAGGCTTCAATTATAAAACTTAACTATTAATCACAATATTTTCAACATGGAAAGAAACCGATAATAATTTAATAATTATGTGAGATCGAATTTGATTAAATTTTTAAACTTCATGAAATACTAGCTGCTTCAGCTCGCTTCGCTCGCCTCTGCACCAGTGGCGTGGCGTGCTTTGCGATATATCGATTGATCGGTCATTTAAACCTATGGAAAAGGATCGATTAACAGGGTGTTCGCTGCGAACACCTTAATAATCGATTCTTTACCACAGCTTCAAACGGGGAAATAACGATATACATCGAAGCACGCCACGCCACTGCTCTGCACCTAGCCAGAAGGCTCCGCCCCCTGAGCCCCAATCCCTCGCTCCACGACCCAAGGGGCCACTTCGCAACCTCATCCAAACTAGGTGTTGAAAGTTTTTTTGGAAAGGTAGGAATGGATGAAGGGGGGCCCTCCTATCTATTGGCATCGATCACCGTCTCCTTCAAGGAAAAGTGCATCAGATAATAATCAGAGATAGGATTTTCATTTTTCTTACAGACAGACGGACGTTACAGATTCTATCGGAAGGTCGGAAGGGGGAGGGGAGGGGGGTGCGTCCCAGCAAAATGTGTCCATCCCAGATTCTTTCGACGAAAGAACCGGGGAAAACTTCCATTATAAAACTATGTAATTAAAAAAAAAAATATAGAAGATCCATCGATCCATTAGCCAATCACAAAACGTTACGGCCTTGGCTAAACTTTGGTTTCTGGATAACATCCTTCCCTAATTATCGTGGTTTTACGGATCGGGATAAAATGGAATGAATCTTGATGTCATGAGTTACTACAAGGTGTTTTGGTATAGATCAGAATACAACGGGGCAGATATTATGATTGTATTAATATACTATTTAAAATAAATCTAATAAATATTAACTTGATTTTTTTATATATATTTTTAAATTTTGTTCGTCTTAACTACTTTTTTCCATTTCGCTCTCCATTCCTGTACTTGGTTTAATTGTCCATGCACTGAAAAAAAATATGGTAGATTTTAACATTCTTTGATACAGTGATCCGAGTGTGGCAATTTATACACACCAGACTCGATATGGTAGCATTTACCATATTGTGGTAACAGTCACTAGATTTCTGGTGAATACTACTATAATTATCGGTATTTTCACTAAATCGTATTACTGTGTACAAAATCAGGTAGATTTATAGTAGATGTTACCATACTTTTTTTCAGTGTGGCCTACAATTTAACCTGAACTGTACCCGGCATCATACCCGGAGTCCGATGACATTGGACTGGTAGGTTCATTCTCTGACTTGATAGGTTCATTCTTGGTCGCAGATTTTAATAAATAACTCAAGTCCATTTGCATCTTGCTCCTTCTCAACGTACTCCTCCTAAGGCTGCTTCTGAACCTGCTCCAGCTCCAGCCTCTTGATTGAGACGCCGATTGAGACGGATTTTGGAGTGTCATCACGCCCAGGCTCTGAGCCAGTTGGTCCACCCCAGAGTTTTTTGTTTCGTAAAGTGGTAGAGGTGTTGAGGGTTTTAGGGGGTTTTTTCCGTTCGGACCCTGAAAGCCGAGGTATTTACTCGATTGTATGGCCGCTAGGGATGGTCTAGGCTTTGGAGTTCTTGGCACCCTGATTTGAAGATCCTGATCATGGTTGTTGGAGTCATCGTCCGGGTCGAGGAAGTAATCATCAGTCTCCGTTTTAGCTGAGGATGCGTCAACTTTGCTGAAAAACGGGATGCAACCTAATCAGCCAGAAAGCACACTATACAAAAAAATATAACCTCGGAAATGACTTTAACCACAAAACTCAAAAAATAAATTAAAAACCGGGTCGTTTTAAAATGGAGCAGTTTCATTCTCAACCGGAAAGAAATAAAAAAAGGCAAATGAATCGTTAATCTGCAGTTTTTACCCCTCCTTTAATATCTCGTTGAAAATGGCATTTCTTACTTCAGAAACGTCCCAGTTTTAGTTCATTTTTGGTTTTTTTGTGATTTGCAGCCAATTCCCGGGTTAATTCAGTAGAGACAGAGGCACTGCATCTCTACCACGGTATAAATCTTGCTGTAAAAATGTCTACAACATGCGATTTGTTGGGTCGCATAGAACATCGAGCCTCAGAATCTGAAAATTATTTTTTCCTTTATATCGTCATTTCCCGCTGGCAAAATGTAAATTTTTTTGGACCCTAAGAAATCGAAAACATTTTATAGGTTGGCATGATATTGAATTTTTTTAGCTTCTTTTTACAAGTGTAGATAGCTATTTTTGAGATCTTTCATTAACAAAAAAAAAAAAAAAAAATTCAACCGGATTCAATGAGTTCATTCAATGAGATCAAAAGTTCTGGGTTGACCGCCTTTCCTTTGATCTCCACCAATCACCATCCTCCATGAGAGAAGCGGGAGCCTACACCGAAAATTCCGTCTTTTCTTAAGAGTCTCACATTCTGCTGTCTCATGAATCTCTGAAAATATTGATATTGTATCTGATCATCAGATTTTGATAGAAGGCAAAATCTGGTTGGACAACTTCTTCGCAATCACAATGCGATTACTCCTGATTGACCATCTTACATTGAAGTAAAGATAAATGTAAATTATAAGAGGCGTGCTTGCTTCAGTAATATTCAACTTAATTATCAGTAGTGTAGTAGTTTTCCAAGTAAAAATAAATCTTTCCCCGAGGGCGAAAATAAAATGGACAATTTTCTCTTCGAAGGACATTTTTTATGCAATGAGGATGATGTCATTTTCGGCGGACAATTTAATTATATCATGGATTTTAAACCTCAAACATATTATAAATGGCTAATATTGGTGAATATTACAAAAAAACCAAAATTCTGAATTCAGATTTTTGGTTTCATTCCTGAATTTGAAATTTGGATAGTTCGAAGGGGGAAAACTGCAAAAACATACATATGAATACAGTTCTGATGGAAAATTGTATTATAACTATAAATCGTTCGAAAAAATTTTTTCTCGGTCCAATAATTTCAAAGTTACAAAAGAAGACCCATTTAATGGCAACCCTTTGGAAATCGTCCTCAGCTGCTATTCTGAAGAACTGAGAATCGATAAAGTTCCTGATGGAATGCGTTTAACTTTTTTTCAGTCTGGTTTGGATCCTTAAGACCCTGCTTCTGCATATAGCTATGGTTTCCGCAATTGTGCCCAAGGTTAGATGTTAGATTTACTGGACCTCGAAAAAGTATTTTCACTTATGTGTATCTCTAGTGTATCTCCAGTGTGAGGCAGGTTCACTTGAAACTAAAAACAAGTACCGCACACATCATGAGTAAAATCATGACGATGAAATACATCATAAAACTCATAAAATTCAATTTTCAAAATAACTTACATCGCAAAATAATATATTAGAAGCAGTATGAACACAAGTGCCAACTTAAATGATCAAAAAAAATAGTCCTTAAAAATGTTACCTATAGCAGTGGACGGTTGCGTTACGAACTGAGCCGGCACCTGTGTGGTTTGAGTCGCAAAACCAAACACAATAACGCAGATCCAAACCAAAACCCATCGAAAATTTAGTGCAGCAAACATGTTGAGTACGCTTTATTGCGGTCACTGAATAATAAAACACTTCATTTGAAAAATCTTAATGTCGTTTCAAAATGCAATCACATAAGCTCAGTTAAATTTTGTGTAAGTGTATGCTGGATCCGCTCTGACTTCACTCTTCCACTCATATCACACGAATGGCCTCCTTCTCGTTAGTTTCAAAAAGGGACAGGATTTAGAAAAATTGCTTATGATTTTATGACGCGCTTACACGCATAAAAGAGAGGTCGTTCGCAGAACCTTTCACATGAGTAATGGATTTTTTTTTCTTGCCACTCTCTTGCGCATCGCATCACAATGATCTTCACAGAGATGAAGTTTGACACTTAGTACGTCATTGCTTTCTGAAGCCGAAGATGAAAAAATAACCCCGCAGTCTCTGACTCCGCGCGACGTAGGACAACCGAGAAAAAATCCTGATATGGGTTATATCTGGAACACCCTGTATGTAAGAATGCGGTAAAGTATTGCTGGGTCCAGTGTTCGAAACTCACAGGCGCCAACGCGCCAAATGCGCCTAAAAAATCGGCCATGCCGCCTAAAAAATGAAGGTTCTGTGCTAACATGGCCCCGAAAAATTGCCCCTCAAAAATCTGGATCTTCACAGGAAGGCACACAAAGAAAGACAAACAAATCTATTTGAATTGAAAAAACTCAGAATTTTCAGCACTGCAAGTGAAAGCTTGCTTTTTCTATTCTTCACGATTTCATTCTTGGTGCTTTTGTCTTCCCCAAGTTACAGCTACTTACTAGTTCTATTCCGAAAACATCTTGCGTCTAACTTTTCACTAAATGCGCCGTAACATGTAGGCATAAAGTCAATTTGGCCCCTAAAAAATCTTCAATGGCGCCTGAAAATCGAGCTCGATGCGCCACATGGCTCCTAAAACTCAAAGGTGAGTTTCGAACGCTGGCTGGGTTCACACTATTTTGCGGAGAAAGCGAGGCCAAAAATTCAAAAATGTTCAATTGAACCCATAAATTTTTTAGCTCTAATGAGTATCAGTACAAGATTGAGGGGAGAGAGGGTTCAGCTTGGGCAGGTGCATTGTAGCCAGTGGCGCACAGTGGATCGAGCCAATTAAGAGAGGTCGGACGTGAAATTATTGACTAAAACTGAAAATTTTTACGTTTATATGGCTACATTTTAAACTTTAAGGGGCGCTTCTTGAAGAAAATTTCATGAGAAACCCAATGGAACCACTCATAGAACCTCGGAATTTTATATAAACGGAGTTATGAGCGTTTAAAGTTTCTAAATTGTGTCCGACCTTCCCGATTGACTCGATCCACGGTGTGGCGTGGCGTGCTTTGCTATATATAGATTGTTCTGCCAATTAAACCTATGGTAAAGAATCGATTATTAAGGTGTTCGCTGCGAACACTCTGATAATCGATCCTTTTCAATAGGTTTAAATGGCACGACAATCGATATATCGCATAGCACACCACACCACTGATTGTAGAAGCAAGCTGGGGTCACGCCGAGAGATCTGAAACGTTTTGGGTCTTTTTAAGTAAGGAGAAGTTTCTCCACTGAAGTGATACATTGTCGCTTGTTATCAAAAGCTTAAAAGCTTAAGCATTATCTTTCATTCAATCATAATAGTTGTGGTTTTTCTAAAAAATCATTATGTTAATTGACATAAGGATAATAAAAATTAAACACATTATTAAAATAACATTTTAAGCTTGTTTCGCTTTTGAGAAAGAGGAAAAACAGTTCTTTTCATCCTATTTTTAATGGACTTCTTCCATGCTAAAAAAGAACACCGTGCAGTAAAATGACGCTCAGAATGGTAAGGAGGGGGAAAAAATCGACGCGTAAATGGTGCTTTTTTCAAAATATCGGCCTTCAAGTGTCACTCTCCGAATACGAATGGCTTGACAAACTTAACATCTAGCGTGACCTGTAGACGACATCATGTGCGAGACATCGATTTTTTGTTGCGAATCACTACGAAGAGATTCTATTTTGAACACTCCTTGAAAACCTTTTAACCTTTAAACTTCTCAGCGACATGAGTTTTTCTATTCTTGAGATTGACCGTTTGCGTGGGTACATTGGAGGCTGAGAGCGGCATTTCGAAAATGTCACATCGGAATAGATTCATGCTTTGCGGCCGATTTTTCGATCTTGAGTTCGCTCGGATGGAAAAAAATACACTGCACGGAGAGTTCCACGTTCCGAGAAACAATTCGCTAAAAAAAGTTTGAAAATACGGAGCATGCCATGTCGTTGCCCTTCAACGGTGGATTAGGCAGATGAAGAGAAAGTCAGGAAAATTCTCTGGAAGCAAATTTTAATACTGACGCAGAAAAGTAGTTGGCTTTCGGACATTTCAGCTTTGCATGAAACGAAAACCTGTTATGGCTGACACAGAGTGAGCTCTTCAAGATCATTTCTTCACTGATGAGATCCTATTTTTTATTTTTTCTTTTGACAAATAAACTGGTGGAGAAGATACTGGAATGCCCAAATAAAGTATGAATTCGTTAGGCCCTACATCATTTTGCGCTATAATTCCTCGTTTGAAAGTTTTTCGGGAGCTGAATGATATATGTGAGCTGTGTAACTCTTCAAGTGTTCATATTCAATCATATCTAGGTATCTGCGAGGCCGCTTTTTACATACATCTCCGGCCATTGGCAGGTAATCTGCCGTGCTAAGGAAGAACGCCGTATAAACCTTCGAACGATGCCAAATTTCCTCTGATAAAATACGAATTTACAAGAAAACTTGTGAGAATTTTCCTCCCAATTTTTCAGACAATTTCCTTCGCAATGTGATCTAAATTATCAGAAAATTTCAGATAGGAATATTCATCATTTGTCTCAAAATTTAACATTTGAAGAGGGGAAATTTTGCAACTCTCGGATGTTCATACGGCGCTTTCCTTAGTACGGCAGTAATATCCTCTACATAACCCCCGTCCCCCTTTTTTTTGAATCTTACAAAGATGACCAGCCAGTTCCTGGTGTATTTTCTAGAAAATACACTATTTTTAATTGAACAGTCTAAATTATGAGTTTTTCCAATTTGATCAATTTCCGCGTACTTTCTGCTGGATAACATTTGCTTTAGAGATTGACAGTATCCATTTCCATGAATTCTTTCAACTATGAATTGTCGACTGTCTTGCTGAGAAAAAACGCCGTATGAGCGTTCGAGTATTGCCAAATTGCCTCTCAGAAAATATTTATTCTGAAGACAGTTATGCACACTTTTCCTTAAAATTTTCGAACACCTTTCGAACATCAAATTACGATCAAAATTTTTTAAAAATCGAAGAAAAAAATTTACAAATATCCCCAAAAATTGGTGATTTCTCATTATCTCATTTTCTCTATGGACTAAGAGAGGAAATTATGGACTAACTGTCGGGTTTCTCGTGGGTCGCCATTAGTTAATCTATGACCCTCTGGTTTTGTCCATTGCAACCACCCGCTTCCACCAATAGGATCTCTCCATATCGCCTTTGTCTCTTTTATCTATAGCTTTGTCGATCAATTTTAATAATCAGCCCGCTGGTCGCACTTCAGCGGGCTGATTATTGAAATTGATAGACAAAGCAATAGACAAAGAAGACAAAAGAAATATGGAGGGAACCTGTTGGTGGAAGCTAGTGGTTGCAATGGACAAAGGATGTAGGTAATAGACTGACTAACGGCAAACTACGAGGGACCCGATAGTTAGTCCATTATTTACCCCTTTAGTCTATAAGAACCACCCATTTCAACCAATAGGATCGCTCCACACTTCTCATGTCTTCTTTGTCGTAAGCTTTGTCTATAAAGTTCAATAATCGACCCGCAGCTTCGGTTACACTCATCCAATACGCGCCATCGGCACTTCCAAACCAACATCCTTTTTCCTCCGCGTAACAAACGATTTACCTCCTCCTTCGAACCGGTATCCCTCCTACGATCCCGAAAGACAATCAAACAAAATCCAAGGTGAGAGGGCCGAAAACCCCTATCGAAGCTAACAGCGAATCTCAACGCGGGGCTCCCAACGGGGTTCCAAAAAGAAAATAGAGCCAGGAATTAAACTGCCAGATGAAAGTAAAACCGGGCGCTCCAACCTGCGAATCTATCATTTTACACGGAGAACCGGCAACCGCACGACGGAGCTCGGCTGGACGACGGAGATTACACCGCTCCATTTGTCTAGCCGAGTGGGGTCATGAAAGGGGGATCCGCGGGGGCGGCGGCGCGGGGGGGGGGTCATAATGAAAACAGGGCCTGGAAAAGTTAATTGCGGTCAAGTTTAATCCTTCGGCTACCTTTAATTGGAACGGGTGAACGTCGGAGGAGGTTAAGCGGGAGATCGCTTCCGCGGAGCTGGGGCCCGAAACGAGGAGAAAAGTAATGATGATGGGGGCGGGAAGTAATGGTGATGGGACCCGCGAAACTTGCCGCGGTGGGGGAGGGTGGGAATTTAAATGAAGAGTGGACATTTGGGACATTTAAACTGTCCATGAAGAGGAAATTGAAGCGTATCCGATCGAGGGTACAAGTCCATTTTTCCATAAAATATTTATCTGTGCACCAAATGGATTGCATTTTGCTAAAAGGAACCAAGAGCATTTCAATATTGCTAAGATCGTGCAACTCTTTTCACCTTGGAAATATAAACTGATAATCTAAACAAGTTATAATTTTACTCCCAATCAACTACAAAGTCAACAGAAAAATTATCTTGGTCAGTTTAATTTTTTGCACGATTCCAGTAATTTTATCTCGAAGATTGTAAGTTGCACAATCCTAGCAACATTGGAATGCTCTTGGTTCCTTTTTGCAAAATGCCATCCAAATAGTCTTCTACAGCCGAATTCAAGTGTAGGAAATACAATTTGGAGGTTTAGGGAGTCGAATGGACCCCCCAAAATGTCGAGGGTTTTCAAAAATTGGCTAAAAGTGATGTGCCTATGGCTCATTAGGATTTTTTGCCAGGATCACAAGAGCACAAGGGCACTCCTTGACGAAAATGAGCTAATATTCCATCATAAAAACGCAGTTACCAATACCGATACCATAACCCTTAGGCCCTTCTATAATGGAATTCTCACTGAGTAAACCGGAAGTATCATCAA